TAGGAGGAAAGGCACGGCAGGCACCGACCACGGCACCAAGCGGCGTGGCGGTGTGCAGGGAAGGGGCACTGAACAAGTGATGTGGCGGTGTGCAGGGTGACGAAGGGGCCGATGGTGCCCTCTTCCAGCCCCCCGCTGGCACAGCACCCTGATCCTGCTGTGAGCCCCCCGCACCTCCCTGCCGCAGCCAGGAGAGAACGGGGTCCCTGCTAAGGGGTCCCCGCTAATTCCTTAACTTCCCTGCAAAACTGTTGCAAACCCCGTCTCCCGAGGCAGCTCTTTGTACCTGTGTTGATGTCATGCCATACCAGTGCTTTTCATGGCTTATTAATTAACTTCCACCAACTCCTGGGAACACCTAGCCACTCCCTTTGTTCTCACCTGTCCCAGCCATTTATAGCACCGATGGGATGCTAGAAATAGTGATGCGTACAGTAAGAGCCGGAGGAGCCCGTGGACAAAAGGAGTATTGGAGTCAATTTGCAAAGGAGATATTTTCTAGCTCGCAGCAGTGAGGCAGCATGAAAAGCCCTGGGTACGCTTCAAGGTAAGGGGAGAGGGAGGTGCACGCTACGGGTGCAGAATTGAAACACGGTTTGTAGAAAGGTCTGCTCCAGGTAATCCCTGTAAATTATTAATAACCTATAGAGTTAGTTATGGTTTGCTCCAGGGTAGAGATTAATTTTGCCGTGAATGCTTCTTCCCTGTATTCCAGGTCTTTTAATTTGAAAGAACCTTGTTAGGTCGACACAGAGGTCTGTTACTTTCAGCTTAAGCCAAATGAACAAGAAGGTTGTCCCAAGCCTTAAAGCATCTGTCGCGGCACCTCCAAGTGCGACCTGAGAGGTAGTTTTCCGTGTTTTCTTCCTGGCTGGGAGATGGCAACGGCGCAGGTTGGAAAGCGAGCTGAAAGGCGAGCCGAACCTCTGGTGCCAGCCCTGCTGACAGCTCCGCAAGTTTTTTGGCTTCTTAGGGAGAATGTTGTGTCTTAGCAATCGGCTCCCAAGTGCTTCCTCAAAGGGCTCCCAGGCTGGTTGCACGTCTTGCGTGCTTAGGTAACTTTCGTGTGACGTTTGAATTGTGGCTTTCTCTCTCTCGCACTTTGCTTTGCAAAAGACTGTATTAATGGGGTAAAAAAGTAGATGATGGCTCTGATTGTACCCTGTGACTCTCGGCTACATCGGGCTTCATGCATCCCAGGTGAAATGCTTCCTCGCTGTCGTGCAAGGAAGGAGGAAATCACTGCAGCCATGATCCCGTGTGTCATGCCCGCCACACTCACATTGATATGCTGGGTGGTTACAAAGAGGTTTCATGCAGGTTTGCATGGCGAACAAAGTCAAACGCTTACCTGCAGTGCCATGAAAGTGCTGCAACATTGCTGCCTATCTCCACACTTCCACTGTGTTTACATTCAGTTTGTGGCTCCCCTGTCACAGCTTGTGCAGCTGGCTACGATAGCTATGTTTTTATGTGCAGCTCTTCATGTTCTGTTGGACTTTGCTCCCATCCTCTCTCCAGTTTTCCATGGTCGGATCCAGTCTGTCACAGCCTGGCTTGTCATACTGTGGCCACTCAGTGGGAGGCTGTAGACCATGCCAGATAAAGCTGGTGTTTGCATTCTCATAAGGCCATCTGGAAGGAGCAATTCAGTGTCTTTCACGCTGTACAAGCTGGAGGCTACAAAAGCCACCACCCTGTGCAGCAGGACCATGCGCGAGGACCCCTTGGCCAGCAGGACAGTAGAAAGGACAACCGGGTCCAGCCCACAGCAATCTATGTGCCCCCATCGACCCTCAGACTGGGCAGGCTTGGAGCCTTCCTTGCTCGCTTGGTAGAGTGGGAACCACGAATGTGACCATTGCATGCTGTAAATGGGACTGTATCTTCCCAAAACAACTTAAAGCCAAAGCCAGATCCACTGCATTTTGGAAATGGCGGCTGAAAACATGGAGTTCAGACCGAGTTAAAAAAGCTTTTAAGATCAGAGAAGTCAGATCAAGCTTGGTGATGAAAAGTTCCTTTCTGGTGGGCATCAAACCTCCAAAAGATCCTGTACGTGTCCCAGCTAGAATGCACTGCTGATGATACATGGTGGTTGTCTGATTAGTGCTGGAAAAAACTCACCCCTCATCATTATTCAGGCAAAGCACAGGTGGATGAGGTGCTTGGTCCAAAGGACTGCCTCTGAGCTCCGGCAGTTTAGAGTCTGGCCAAGGTGAAAAGATCTGATGAAAGGGAGACCTGGGTGAGGCTGAGCACGAGGGCTGGGCTGGGAGGAGGAGCTGTCGCAGTGGAGAAGCACTCCTCTTGTTTGAAAGCGGAGCGTAATTAGTCTGTTACAGGTGCTGTTGGATTTCTGTATTGAAAAATCTCAGTTATATCAAAAAAAGATCAGTTTAGTGTTTCTTTGAGATCACCAGCTTCTGGAGTGATGTGATTACAGGAGGTGCTCAGCTTTCTTACCAGGGAAATCCTTATACCGTTACAAAGGGCTCATTTTCTAGCTCTTGGTGGTTGCTGAGAAAAGCTTGAAGTGAATAGGCTCTAAAGCCCCAGAAAACTGAAAGAAAAGCAAAATAAAAGGCAGCAGAGCAGAGCGGGAGGCTGTTGGAAGAGCTTAGCAGGCTCTGCCTGAAGTAGGCTGTGTCTTGCCAAAGGCCAAAATTAGGAGAGTCATAGTGAAAGTGCAATTTCTCACTGTTGTGCCTCTAATGCCAGAGCTGCTGACACAGCTGGGGGAGCCAAAGATGGCTGGCACCACGGAGGCATAAAATTGTGCTCCCAGTGATAAAAATTCCCAAGGGCTATATGCAAAGTTTGGTGGTTCATGTTTGGGGAAGGACTATCAGATAAAAGTCCACTGAAGCTCTACTTTCTTTCTAGGCATATCAAATGTCTCATCATTTTCAGCCTTTGCGTGGGAGTCATCTTCCTGTCAGGATTGTCCCATATGAAGAATAAAAATTACATGTAAGTGAAGCAGAAGTCAGGTTGCATGACTTCGTCTGCCCAGGGCAGCAAGGATCTGACCTGTGACACTTGATTTAACTCTTATGGGGTTTAGGCTAATATCGGAAGGGCAACAGCCCAAAATTAGGTCCTAGATCCACATTTGGGCAGGCAAGGAATCAAATTAACCAAAAAGTGCAGCTCTTTGGGGCAAAATCAGCCATATGGAAAAAGAAAAGGGGATCGAGCTGAAGCCTTTGGGTAAGTGAGAACCTGGAAAAGCAGAAAACCATCCAACATCTATGCCTGAGGGATGGAGCTTGTTTGGGTTGGTGCCTTACACCAGTTGCAGGTGTGGTATCAGAAGGAGAACCTGCTGGGGTCTGGCTTTGCCAGGTCTCAGAGATGGGGAATGGCACTGGAGAGGCTGTTTTCCCCATCTGTTACCTTCCTGCAGAATCTCGAAGAGCCATGAGGCGCTGCTGATACCTTCCACACCTTGCCGTGCCAAGACTAACGTCATGTTCCTCAAGACCCACAAGACGGCCAGCAGCACTGTCCTGAATATCATGTTCAGGTTTGCAGAGAAATACAACCTCACTGTCGCCCTCCCAGCTGGCCAGCTCGTCCACCTGGGCTACCCGAAGACCTTCCTGGCCAGCTTTGTGGAAGAATTTCAAGCCATAGGACAAAACTACAACATCATGTGCAACCACCTGCGGTTTAACTCCCCAGAGGTAAGAGCCATGACACCTGCGGAGAGACCTGGTTGAACAAGCAGTGCCTCCAGACTAAAACAGCCTCTCTTCTTCCTCCCTGCAAATAGGTGCAAAAGGTGATGGCAGCAAACGCTTTCTACTTCTCCATCCTGAGGAACCCCATTCCTCTGCTGGAGTCTTCCTACGTATACTACAAGGACAGTGCCCCTGCCTTCAGGATCTCCAAGGACGTGAACGAGTACCTGGCATCACCCATGAAGTATTACCATCCGGAGGATTACAAGCAAAACATCTATGCCAGGAATATCATGTGGTTTGACTTTGGCTACGATAACAATGCACACAACAACAAAAAGTACATCCAGGCGGTTTTGAAGGAGATTGAACAGAACTTCCACCTGATCTTGATAGCAGACTACTTTGATGAGTCCATGATCCTCTTGAAGCACATTTTGTGCTGGGATCTGGATGACGTGATTTACTTTAAGCTCAATTCCAGAAGCCAGGACACTGTCCAGACCTTGACTCTAAAAAGCAAGGAGCAGATAAAAGCATGGTGCTCACTGGACTGGAAGCTCTACCTGCACTTCAACCAGAGCTTCTGGAGGAGAATTGAGGAGACCATAGGATTTGAGAAGCTGGAGAAGGAGGTGAATCACCTGCGAATGAGACAGAAGGAGCTCATGGAGACCTGTCTCTCGGACCAGGAGGCAGTGGGGAAGGATCACATCAAGAACAAAGCTCTCCTGCCTTTCCAGTCAGGGGCTACAGATATCCTTGGGTACAACCTCAAAGAAGACTTAGACAACAGGACTCTGAGAACCTGCCAGAAAATGGTTATGCCAGAGCTGCAGTACACATCCTATCTTTACGCTGTTCAACACCCACACAAGAAGAGGAAACAGTTAGGCTTACCCTTGCCGTGGACCAGTTTCCAGGAGAAGATGCAGCTCCCAATTCCCAACTAGGGCATGCGACAACCGACTACAGTTTCCCACCGCTTTGCATCACCACATGTCTGGCACATGACTGGCACACAGGACTCTTGTGCATGAGGGGGAGGAGGGGGGGGGGGGGGGGGGGGCTTTTTTCAGGGCCACCGAGCTTGTGGTGGGTCCCTTTCTGGGGACCTTGAGCCAAAGGCTCTGCGTTGGCCAGATCCTGCATAATTCCTCCTCCCTGCTCCCAGGCAGGGGGACAGCCTGCTGCTGCTGAGCACTGGGCAGGCTTTCAGCTGGCTTAGACGTTCCTGCCTCTTAATCATTAATCACAGGCTTAATTATTTTGTTTGCATTTGACTTTATTCAATAGCTGTCATTATGTCCAGGCTGGTCATAGCTCACTACAGCAAGTCCTGATTTTCAGCGTTTAGAGGAAAAAAGGGGAGGGAGAGGGAAATGAGGAGGACAGCACAACGAGGGGACACAGCGCTCAAAGGAGTAGGAGAGATGTTGGGCCTCCCATCCAGCAGCACCTGTGCTCGACAACATCTAACTACCGTGCGATGCCAGGGCCGCTTTTCAGATGGGAATCCCAAGCATCGTGCCCAAAGCTGGGAACACTGCCTGGCAGCCTTTCCCCACTGGCACATGAAACGTCCCTCTCATGCATGTCATGAGGTGCAGGGGGCCTCTGCACCACTTGGGACAGCTTGGTGCTCCCCTGGGAGGGCCCGTTTTGTGGTTTCACCCCCCCTCTCTTAGGTGAGGGTTCCCAGTCCCTGGACACGGATGGTCCCTTGGGCTCAGCATCCCTGAAGCCCTTCATCAGCAGGGGCTTCATTGGGCACCCTTGCTATGTTGGCCAAACTCTCCAACACCAATTAGGAGAGGGGTGGAGGGGAGGCACAGCCACTGCTTGTTTAGGGCATGACCTTGTTATTGAAGAAGGTAATTAAACCTGCCTGGGATGCCTTTGCTCATTTGCCAGCTCCCCGCTGCCATGCCAGTGCTGGGAAGGTTTGTCAGAAGGACGGCAGCGTCAAGCCCAATGGCTGTGGCGTCACAGCCATTAATGAGTGCCCATTGCCAGTTTCCAACGCACCCACATCCCCGATGGTGCAATATTTCTATGCTTAGCCAGCGTGTCCTCCCACTTGCGCCGGTCGGGGTGGCGGCAGGGACCCAGATGGCACAATTGGGATGATGGATCCAGGATCACTTGGCTTGCAGCTTCACCTTGGGGGGGTGAAGCAGCCCAGCAGCATCTCAGCCCAGGGAGCAGGAGAGATGCTGTCGGAGGGGAGCAGAGCTGGGATTTTTCCTTGGCTATGTTTAAACCAGGGAGGAAGCCAGCTGAGGCAAGGGTTAACTTCCTGCAATGCAACCTGTGGTCCTCCACAACCCATGTGTTGTACAACGGGAGCAACACGGAGATTACCAGCACCCACACGTTTTTCTGCTCCAGCAACCCTAGCTAAAATTAACCAGGCTTAGGAGGCATTTGTAATGAGCCGGAACGGAGGACATGGCAGCTGCACATGTTCAGCCTGGGCAATCCCCAGGGGCCTTTCCTGGCCAATTCTGCAGCCTGAGCCTGGGCTTTCACCTTGGAGCTTCTGACCCGTGATTTGCCGTATGAATTTTGTCAAGCCCCTTTAGCTAAGCTGATGCCAGGGACGAAATATAAGTATAAAAATAATTTCTTACAGCTGACCTGTGTGCGGGTGAGGGTCCTGGGAAGGCTGGGACCCTCCGGACCACAGCCCATGGGCTAAGGAGCTCACAGCTGGGTTGCAGCACCTGGGCAGGGAGGTCTGGCCTCTCCCAGCCTGCGGGAGGAGGGAAACTGAGGCAGGAGATGCAAACCACCACCACCACCTCACCCCCTTCCCAACACGGCTCCCTTTGCATCCCCTCCTGGGGGGGTCTGAGCAAGGTGGCTTGGCAGCCGCGGGGCCCCTGGCTCTGCCCGGGC